GTAATAACATCACTGAAAATTTCAGTAGAGACCTGTTGGTGCTAGGATAAAAATTAAGATGGGGTAGGTCTGGAATTACATCTTTTGCTACTGGCATTTTTATCTCATTAAGTGTGAACAAGGACTGTTTTATTTATGTTTTATTATATCTCTTGTTTATATAATATATTAAAACATGCCTTGTTTACTTACATTTTTCTGCCTTTCTTCCACCTGTATGCTGTATTTGCATTTCTTGCTTGATCTGTGCTGGCTACTTTGGAAAAATCGTATTTCTTGCTTTTTTTTTTTTTTGCTTTTAAAATATTTTTTGCATGATCAAAATGTTAAACTTTATCCAAATTATTCAAAAATTATATCAATGAAAAAAACCTAGTCAGGTAGGCTCTGGGCATTTTTACCAGGCTGACCATATTTGCAATAGGGCTTTAAAAAGACAACTGGCTTTTGTACTTTGTACTGGACTGTGGTTTGGAGATGAGGTTGAAGGAGTTAATTAAATAATTTGAAGGTAAAACTTGTTTCAAATAGACTGAAGGAAACAGAAGCTCAGTCTATATGCTGGGGCAGAGACCTACTTTTAAAAGAACTAGTGTTTTTTCAGAGTAAAAATATGTTGCCCAGTGTTACCTGTTAGGAAAAGACTCAAGAAGCCAATTGTCATTTTAAGTATGTTATAGGCAAAAATACAATTTTCTGTACACACTTTTGATTACATAATATTGCACTAAAAAGCTCTTCAAGTCAGTTGCTCTAGTGTTAGATCAGATATCACCTCTCTAACATCACTAATGTTTGAATTTTGAGACCAATTTTGAAGTGAGGACACAGTGCATTAGATTGCTGCATTAGCACAGAGGCTCCTATATTCTATACAATGAAGCATTAAAAGGCTTTTTGTGTTTTTATTTTAAAAAAGTGTATTTTATATAAATTCTTTAGTGCAATAACTTCCTACACCATGTTACATTCTTTATGTTATATGCTTTCCCTGTAAACATCTTTCCTGTATGAACTTCCTTTGCAGTTTGTGCGATATATTATTCCCCTCACCCTAGATTTGGATTAATGTGACTATTTACTGAAAAATTGTTCTGATTACTTTGTGAACATCTTTTAAATGTTTACATTTGGTTTCATCATTGAAAAGGAATTAAAACTTTGATTTAGGATTCTGCAGTCAGTATAAAATATAAAAAATAGATTGATTGCAAAGCTATCTCCCTGAACAATCTTAATTTTCCCGTGATACGAAGAGTCAGACCCCTTTCAGGTGCACAAGGGGAGTAACTTCATCTTAAGACTCCTTAAGTTGTTTTGAAATTCCACAACTCTTGGAGACTGACTCCAATACTCGAAAACAACCCTCCCCTTACTGTGGTAAATGAGTAATAAATTTGAAATGGCTTCAAAGTTTTAGAAAAACAGAAAAATATATTCAGGTAATTTTGCATAATTTGCTACATAGCAATTCATGATGAATGAAGAGATCCTGGACTGCGCTTCTTACATGTGCTGTACTGGAATGAAAGCTAGGTCCAGTCCTGCAACTGCTCAAGTAAATGTTTTGATTAGGAATTATACATGAGCTAGGTATTCAAGAGCGGATCATGTGTATGCAGTCAAGACTGGAAAAAAATAAATGTCTCAACCTGTGCTTCTGGAAATAATATTCAACATAGTCAAAAGTATACAATGAAATTATACCAAAAGCACTTCTAATGCTTAATCATTTTGCTTCCAAGAATTCAAAAAAATACATCTGTTAATAAAGAGAATTGCATTTCCTTTGCTTGTACAATTTCAAAATAAATGTGCTTCTCTGAAAACATTTAAAATATGGCAGTCAATAAGGGCCTGGTCTTCTCATCCGATTTATATAGTTAAAGCTCCTGTGGATTTCAATCAAGAGAGAGACTCTTGCCATCCTCATTTATATTTCAGTCAGTCCCTTTTTCCGTCAGACTCCCATTGATTTCAGGGGAAATTCATCTGCACAAGGACTGAGGCTGTGATTTCACCACTATTGAACTAGTGATTTTAATAGGGCGGAATCAGGTTTGCATAAAGTTTAGCTCAGGAGAGCTCAAGGAATCAAATCTCTGCTCCTGCAATACGTTCCCTATGGTTGGACTCCTCCCTTTCCACCAAGCGGCACAGATCTCAGGGGGCTTTTCCAACGCGTAAGGGTCACCTGGGAGAAAAAGCACATGGTAGGAACACAACACAGCCCTCAGTCTTGCCAGAACAACGTCATTATCTTGAATGGGATTTTTCTGTGGATCCAGAGCATGGGATCAGATCCCATTTGGACTTAATTTGGTCTTCATTAGTTCACTAGGATGTAAAGGCAGATCGAACAGGCCCATGTGATTTCATAAAACTGCACATAGAAAATACTGACCAACACTTTAGGCATATAAAAATTGACTGGCATTGAGTTTTAGTCACTGAAAATATCTAGGAAGAAAAAGATAAAAATAAATATAGAAGATTAATGAATGTAAAATACTCAAGAGCTATGTTTTGGAACAGTGAGACACAACAGGACTGAAAAATGTTAAGCAGAATGCCATATAAATAGGTAAAACTGAATGCAGCAAAAAGTTGCAATGAACTGCAACTAAGGACAAAAAAATTCATTTTTATTTTGAGAATTAATGACCAGACATTGTTCAGAAAAAATAACATTATATTCCCAGTTTTTCAAATGGTTAAAGAGACACCCCAATGTTATCTTATGGAAATCAGAAAACTTAGGAAATATAGAAAACTTTTTAAACCGAAGGATTGTGCTGTGCTCCTTGTTTGGCTCAGCCACCAGAATCCATATTCTGGGGCTCTTCCAACTTGCCTCTTTTCCATGGGCCGGGCTTGAGGGAGGTCTGTGGCATCAGCCCAGCCATTTCAGGCCGAGGGCAACGTTACAACAAAACTGCCTGCTCTTTTACATTAAATGCATTACGTGCCTGACTTTTATTCATTTAAGTGACAGAAAACATCCACGATGGGAAGTAGGAGCCTGCTGTTACAAACCACATGCTGGTTGGTCTAAAGTGCTTTTAAGGCTTCCATTCTTGCTGTCTCAGTGTCTTTGCAATGCTCCGTGTTACAGCACTGACCTGGAAGAAGGATTTGCTCCCGTCTGTGCACGGGGAAGTGAGAGGCCCGATCTCTGGCAACAAGGCTGCGGAGCAGCAGGGGACTGATGCCAGAATTTCTAAACACCTCCTCAGACTTTTAACTGCTGGACCCTCTGGCCATTAGCTGCGAGGCTGGACTGCTGCTCTTACAAAACTGTTGTGAGTATCCAATTTCAGCAGAAAATCAGAGGACAGCAAAAAAATACCTGTATAATGTTTTCCTAAAAAAAAAAAAAAAAGAACATTTTGTAGGACATGCCTGTGTAGCGGCATACTTTTGCTTATGATTAGGATTAATGAATTGAATAAACTTCTTATGATTTAGGGAATTAAAACTATCTATAGGCTTTTTAATTTTTTTTTATATTATAGCATAGGAAGCTATTGGTGCTGGATAAAAAATTGATAGCTTTTTTTAGCCAGTGGTTAGATGGGTACTTTGTAATGAAGGCTTTGGTTCAGCATCTTTCTTTTACAAAGCTGGAGAATATCAGAGAAATCAAAGATGCTTTGGCAGGACTGATATTTCCCTTTAAGTACAGGGGATAGCCATGTGCGTATAGGTTGAGGCAAAGTTGGTGATTCAGGTGATACCTTCTGTCAGTCCAAATGATTGAACTGAAAAACACAGAGAAGCTCTGGGGCATGGAACACGTGGGGCGAGTCACGTGTACTTGAAGCCTGATTTTTCCAGCTATATGATTTGTGATAATAAAAGGTATTACTTTCCCCTACAAAGCTTGTCTCTTGCGTTCTTTCACCATAACGGCTTCAACAACATTGCCATTATTGAAGTATGGGCACTGCATGTAAAGCAAAGGGGAAGAGAGCTCAGAGATCACGTAGAAGAAAATATTGTTAACTCAAAGGAAAAAACGAATGTGGCTAATAGTTTTTTTTAATACCAAGTTAAAAGAAATATTCTAAGAGATTGAGAACTTTTGGATATGTCTATATAGCCATTTGGCACTATTTATTGCCACAGAAATAACCCTATTTTTTTTTTTTTTGTAAATTGGAACTTTTTTTTTCTTAGTTATGAAATGTTGGCAGTTTTCTATAAAAATATCAAATGCTTCATGTTCTGGTCATTAACTCTTTGCTGTTCCTCACAGGACCATTAATTAAACTGACAAATGCAATAACTAAAGTTATGCAAATAAAAAAAAAAACCATCATGATTTACAGCACAGATAAGCTAAAACACTGTAGTCCTTAATTAACAGTTATACTCATGAGCTTTTTAACAGAAAGCAAGATACGTGAGATGCTTTAAGTAGAAGTTGCAATTTTGCAACATAAGTCTGTACAAAACCTCCAGGCAGCACGCTGTGAAGGAAGTACCTGTGTCCCAGGAAATGCTTTTTCCATAAATCCTTGTTAACAGTAGCTTTCCCCCCAACCCCAAACTATTTACAAATATATGCATTTTGCAAGCTCAAAGCACCTTGTTTCACATCTTTATGAATGCATGCATTGACATTTCATCCTTTCATGTGCAAATTCTAAAATTCATTGTAACCGAGAAAACAAAAAAAAGTTAAAAGAGTTCAAAATCTGTCTACAATCATAAGTGAAAGGATCGAAAATGTCAGATGTTGCAGAACACTGGCTCCTAACAGAGCTCTCTTTATTTTATTCACTGTTCTTGAGTCATTTTTTTTCCCATTTTTTTTCAGTTTGTTACAAAAAGCAGTCTTTTTTTTTTTTAAATTAAACAGTATTTAAACTAAACAACTCCTCATGCCATGCAAAAATAACATTTTATGCACTTTTTTTGAGGCTTTCCTTGTTTTAGTTCATAGGCATTACTAACTGTGTTTTAAGAAAAGGTATTTTTATTGCTTTTGTAACTAGTCACATGCTAGTTTCACGTGTGGGACAGTAACCAGTTTCTCCTGGACTTGAATGAATTTCTGGGGCAAATAAATGGTTTTCCATTTTGTGACCTTCTTGGTTACTGTCTTTCTTTACCTCACCCACAGCATGGTAAATGTCTTGGGTACAGTTGTGGCTCATGCTTTTGGGTGAAGAGCTGACCTGTGGCTCCTCGGTTAAATGGTTGCCATCACTGTGTTTATCCCCACAGCAATTTGTCTTGATATCCTGTTGCTTTTCATGTTTTATACCATGTAACTCCATAAACTCTTCTTCTTCTCCAGTGTCTATTTCAGTGAAGCTCCTCCTCTCTTTTGAAGGGAAAGTGAAAAGCTTTTGTTTGGGAAAGAGAGGGGAGGATTTTTTAACAGGTCCCTGACAAAGTGCTGATGCATCAGCACCAAGTAAAGGTCGTTCACCTTGGGGTGAATTTTCTTCTAGGAGAATGGTGCTGATGTGCTGAGGGGTGGCCTGCGTGAAGTCTGCTCCTGCCATTACTGGCAGCGGCCTTGCAGTGCTCGGTGGAGTTTGTGGAGCACCACCTCTATTGTCTTTAAAATTAACTTTAAGGGATCTGGATTTTAATGGGTTGCTACCTTTCAGAGAACTTTTGGGGCTTTCCATGGCAGTGTCTAAATGCAAATGACCATGCAAACCAGTTTGGGACCCACTGGCATCACTGATAACAGCTCTGTCAATTGGATTATAGTCAAAGGTGACATCGGTTGGAGAAAACATTCTGTCTTTTGTGAATGGTATAAACTGAGAACTCCTTACTCTTTGGTTGTCTTCCAGGTTAACAGCATCAGCTGGAAATCTCATTTGCAAGTGAGAGCCAGGAAACAGAGAAAGGGGAGACCTCTCCGTTTCCGTGAAGTCGGTCGCACAACTGGCAAAACTGTCAATACTGGATGTGCTTCTCATGTCTGTAATGATGTCCGTAGGTCCAGTTGGCAATGGATCCCTCTGACCTGTAACTTCTTCCATTTCTATTTCTTCTTCATACACAGGTGGCTTTGCTGACTGGTCTTGGTAACCAGCATTAAGATTAGGCTGAGACTGAGTTTTAGTAATTTCATTATACAACATCTCCAGTTTCTGGGCACTGAGGTGCTGTGGGCTGGAGGATGCTGCAGCATTGTTTAATTGCTCGTGGGAGTCTTGTTGACTAACTTCTTGGTATTTGTTCTCATAAGACTTGTTTGAGCTTGTTTCAGACATTGTCCTTCTGGCCCATTTCCATCGGCTTGGGGACAGGTGGTTGTCATCAGGTGTCTCCTTTGGATTGGCTGCTTCTCCAGGCTTACCTGAATCTACTGCTACATCTATCATTTCCATACTGCGAGCAAAGGCATCTTTCAGGTTCATGGAGACAATACTGCCATTTCTTTTAGCTCGCTCAAGCGCTTCTCTCCTCTTAATTGCCTTTTCCTGTCTTTTCTGCTCCTTATAAAACTCTGAGAAATTGTTCACAATAATTGGTATGGGCAGGGCTATGACCAGTACTCCAGCGATACAGCAAAGTCCTCCAACTATTTTACCTAATAACGTCTTAGGATAAATGTCACCGTATCCTACAGTAGTCATAGTGATTGTTGCCCACCAGAATGATGCAGGGATACTGGTAAATTTTGTAGCATCCTCATCCTTTTCAGCAAAGAATACAAGACTGGAAAATATCATTATTCCCATGGCTAAAAATAATATCAACAAGCCCAATTCATTGTAACTCCGCCTGAGCGTAAAACCTAAAGACTGAAGGCCTGTTGAATGTCTGGCAAGCTTAAGAATCCTTAGGATCCTCATAATACGAAATATCTGAACCACACGTCTGACGTTTTGGAACTGCAGGACACTTTTATTGGACTCCGTGAGGAAAATGGTGACATAGTACGGCAAGATAGCCAGTAAGTCAATGACATTTAATGGGCCTTTGAAGAACTTCCATTTATTTGGTGAGGACAGAAAACGCAAAAGATATTCCATGGTAAACCAAGCAATACACACAGCTTCAACGTGTGCTAGCTGAGGGTTGTCATTTGGCTGCCCAAATTCATCTATTTCTTGAAGCTCTGGCAGTGTGTTAAGAGACAAAGCAATAGTGGACAGTACGATGAACAGAATGGACACAATGGCCAAAATCTGTAAAACAAAATAAACAATGTTTTGGTTAGACTGATACAAGTGTATTTGTCAGGGCTTGCTTAAATCCTTTCAAATGTGCATGTGTCAAATAAACTCAGAATGGCGGAAGCTGCTTTGACTGCTGCATCCATTGTTTTGTTTTAATGCTTTGATTTTTGCACAGAGACAAAATGTTAGAATCATCTTAGACACGGTCAAAATCTGATGGTTTTACTGCCTGCAGTAAGCCAATTGATTTCAGAAAGCAAGCCATGACTGGTCTTACCATTTTAAATTACAATGGGAGGTGATACTTATTATTGCAAGTTACCAAGTGAAGGATATAAAGTTCCTGCTAATGTGCAGAACATTATTCATTTTCTGTGTTAAGTGTAATTATGTAAAACTTGACACAGTACAGAGAAGCGATTGGGAAATACTGTATGTAAGCTGTCAATTTAGTACTACAGATTGCACACCTTTCTAGTCATGCATAAATTTATGAGCCAAAAGTCAAAGTTAAGAGAAACAAACACGAAGCATTGTTCGGGAGACTAGTCCTGCCAAATTGTCATGTCTAGACAAATTTCAGGTGCTACAAGAATTGAAGGTACTGGCCCTGAATTAGGTTGAGAGCAAGATGTTAAAAAGTATGCAGTAGTACGAAGGTAAACCCAGTTTCTCATCATGATTAAAATGTGTAAGTAGACAAGTGCTTCCTAACAATAATGTTTCAACTTCTGTCTCCGGAGATAGGTTTTCCGAAATATTTCATTATTCATTTTGATAAAGGTCAGGCACCTCTGTACCTCACAGCCTTCCATTTTGCCTGGAACAGCTGGTCATTCTCATTTACAGAACCAATATTATGAGAAAAGAAATAAATCTATCAGAGAACATAATGGTTTTACTACAAAGTTGAGTTATTTATACTCAAAGGAATATGGGCAGCTTTGAGACAGTGTGCAAAGTGTTAAAGTGATGCAAAAATTATTATAACACCTTACTTGGAAAAATACATTGTTTTGGTTAGAAGTCCTAAGTAAATCCAGGCTTCTATTATAAACACTAAAATTAATTGTTTTCTGTTTTAAAGCTCAATTTAAGCTCATTCATAAAAAACATTTGCTCTCACTTCTCAGGAATGGTACTGTTAAATCTACTTGGCAATGTTTGGTGTACTTCCAAGGACACACTAAGTCTGACAAAATTGCTGTAATACCCAAGAGTGAAATGCAGCTAAGCAGAATGCAGGTGTGATGAGTGTATGGGGAGAGATTAGTCGCAGTGGTGATAACAGCTCCAGAGATGGAAAGACCACCTCATTGAGAAAAATAGCAGTGAGCCCGTTTCAGCCAGGGGTTATTAAGCACAAACTCAGCTCTCTAAGCACAAACTGAAATTGCTCATGGTCTGAGGGTCCATATTTGGCATCATCTTGGACTTATGTGCTATATTTGGCCTTTTTTCAGCTAATAATAGTACAGAACAGGTAGCGCCTTTCATATTTTGAAGTATTCCGAACAGATTTGTATCTCTCCCTACCAGTGCTGCCTCTGCCTTCCCCCCTCCTGCCCCCCTTTATTTATTGGAGGAATAAGATCTATTTATTTCTCCTGCCAAGTGAGTTGTGTTGTGGACCACCTGCCTTCATCCTTCATCCAGCCCATTCAGAAAACATACTCTGTTTAATCTATCCTATTTAGAAAGGTTATACATCCCTTTAAAACAACAGCCAAAGAAGCCAGTCTTAGTAAAGGATGAAGGCAATAACACTGCATACCTAGGCAGGGCTGAATAATGAAATTTGTGAGGTCCTGTTGCTAGGACAGAGGCAGACAAAAGGCAGCACTATTGGAGAGCAATAACTACCTTTCAAACTGTGGAAGTTGACTGTATCAGAAATCACTGTGAAAAAGTTTGAAGCTTAAATAAAGTACACTTGGTCCTCCACTTCACTGAAATTATTGTGAAATAACTAATACGTGCTCGAGTTCTCCAACATACTCAGTAACATAATTATACTTTCAGAATTCAAAGAACAAATAAACATGGCAGTTTCTGTCAAACTGATTGCTTCCTCATTGGGGCTGGCATCACAATGTAAATAACAGCATAGGAAAAAGCTGTACAATGCAAGGACACAATTACTTGACATACATTATTCTTAGAAAAGAAAATCACGAGAACGTATCTGCCCAATTGTCATCAAACTGGTTTTAATTAGGAAACACTGGTGTTTCAGTCTGTCATAGGGAATTTATTTTATACCTAAACGTTCACCAGCATACAAAAGATCCTAGAAAAGAAGTGAGTGGATGTATAGCACCCTTTACGCTGTGTGACAGTGCTAAAACTCTGCATTTTATAGTCTTGAACACAAAACTCTCCTGTTCAGAGTTACCACCCAGAGCGTTTTATTGACAACAACCATCTATCTCTTTGTTCCAGCCATTCATTCATACGTTGGTAACACGCAAGTCTGAACTCTGCCAGCTATTGTAATAAAATATATGGAATAGCAGGCCTGGAATTTTTAGTGGTTTATACATATCATCTATAAGCACGAGTGAAAAAAATGTACAGCAAAGGAAAGTATTTTGGTTTCTTCTAACAGGAGAATCTCAACCTTTTATTTGTCTGGGACTTTGTTATGTAATTAAAGTTGTGCATCATTCCACACACGGTATGTTTTAATTATTGCAATTGATTAGATTTTACAACTCATTAAGCAAAAAATGGCAGGGGATCATTAGGAAGAACAAGAGCAACTATGAAAAGAGTAAAAAACCCACCACTGACTGAATATTTCCCAGCAAAACTTCCTGTGTTCTAGGCATGTTTCTGGAACTATATTCTGCACCGAAATGCCTGGAAAAAATTGTGTACTCCAGGTAATCAATCTGTGACCTCAGTTTGGCTATATAATTCTTGACATATTAGTTTTAATCTGCATTTCAGAATATAAATAATACTCTCTAACAGATTCTGGCAGTATACATCATTTAGTTATGGTTCTACAAAACCACATAAAAATCCAACTCTTATTAAACTTTAAAAATATTTCCTTATAAATTGCAAAATGTTTCTGAAAGAATGGACATTTAAATTCCTTTCTTATGGGCTGGATATGAGATATTTGAATCTGCTGCTGATGCAATGAATAGTAAAACATTCCTTGAGTTAACAATGCAGTCTTAGTAATCAGTGTTATTGCTATATAAAGCAGAGAAAAAGTATACATTAGGTTCACACTGAAGTATAGCTGCTCAGAGAAAGTTCAGTTGAGCCATATCTAACAGCCAGTGCTGTACATTCGATTAACATAGGTTTCAATCTGTAATCAGGTAGAACTGTATTAGCAATGTTGTTTGTTTAGTTTTTATGCCAGGGTGGGATCTAGGGTGGGATCTAGACCATTTAAATAACAGACAGCAATATAGTCTCATTACTTTTCAAATCTCTAGCCTCCATAGGCACTGAAATTTATCAGATTGTTATATATTCTTCTCTTTCTGCATTTAAATGTATGGTATCTTCAAATAAAATGCTCTGGCAGCTCTGGCTTTAGATTGTGATAACGATTTTGCAACTGAATAAACCAAAAAGTTTTGCTCAGTAGGAGCACTGTCTTGTACATCTGCCTAAATCTGTGTGTGTCCTGTTCTGGACACCTGGGACCATCCAAACAAGATGCTCGCTGGAGCAGCAAAGACAACACTACACACTGAGCTGCCTTCCAACTCTAAGCATTATCACATGAGGAATTTCAAGAATAGTCAGGACATCAGTCTGTAGATATTTAGGGGAAGAGGCCATTATACTTTCCATCAGCAATGCAAGGGAGAAGCACAGTTTTACGTTTGTACAAAGTGGGTAAGTACAAGGATACTTTACCAGCTAATAACAGCACTTCTCGGTACAGCACCACGGCACTGCCTTCAGCAGCTGCCACTGCTGTTTCTTGCCAGGCACTGCAGAACAGCGTCACGAGACGGCATCTCTGTCCCTGGCCTCTTCATGGCCTCCCTTCATTGTGTCCCTGGGACTTCCCAGTTACAAGCATCACCTCTTGCTTCTGGCCCACGATTCTACACTGTGCTGCTCTGCAGAAAGGACTGTGTTCACATCTGCCTGCTGGCGATTCCGCACTCAAAATGTGTGCCGGTGTGTTACAGCTCACATCATGAACAGTCTGGCAGACGTACAAGTCTGTTATTTTGAATCTGAGGTTTCAACAGGCCACACTGAAAAAGTTCAACAAAGAGGCAAGACATTTTGCTACTGATAACAGGGTATGGCCCTTACCGGCTAATGCTCTTTATTAACGTTATGTCCTTGGCCAGGAGACATGAAAAAGGAGACAAAAAGGGACAAACCCTACTTGGATTTGGTCCAAGTTGGAACACGATGGAGTTATGGCAAGCCTTAAGCATGCCAATTCAAGCCAATCTTAATAGTTCTGCAACACTGAAAATTATGTAAGAATAGATGTATTGTATATGTTTGCAAATACCCCTTGTCTTAAGTCATGGAAAAATTCATTGCCAGTTACTAAAATTAGACCGAAGTACCATTTTAAAATTATTCTAAAACTATTACTGAGAAATAAATAAGACATCAGCCTCCAGTCGGGTCAGGTAGTCTGACCTCAGCCTCTGCTGTGCCATTATTAGAGCTACATCAGTACTTGCAGGGCGAAGACAGAATTTCATGATATAGTGAGAAATCAGTTTATATCATTCTGTCATAAAGTCTCAAAACAGACATCCCTTGTAGTTACCTTCCAGGGCCTGCAAACCATCATTACAAGTGGAAAATTGCCACTACTTATGCACATCTACCCTTTCAGAGTACACCTTTCATCTCTTTTTATGTATCTAGAATAACCTCTGATTGCAGACTCCTGGCACAGGTCTAACAGCTCTGCATAGAATACAGTGTTTAATTTTTGAAAAATAAGATGGAGGAGAGGGGAATAATTTAACAGAATAACATAAATTTAGTTCAGCTTACAG